CTCTCTTTCCCCCTCTCACTCACTCACTGTCTTCCCATTCCCCTCTCTTCCTCTCCCTGTCCCTCTCTCTCCCTCCCTTCCTCCTTTCCCCCTCTCTTCTCCCTCCTTCCTTCCATCCCTCCCCATATCCCTCTTCCTCTCTCACCCTTCTTCCTCTTTCCCTCCCTCCCCCTCTGTCTGTTTCTCTTTCTGTCTCTCTCATACACACACACACACACACACACACACACACACACACACACACACACCACAGAGACGAGAAGGGAAGGGATTTTACTTAGCACCCTTAATATGTTAAGGATGGGGCTCTTCCAGAATTCACAACCTGCAGAACAGAATGGCTTCCACTTGGCTCACAGTCCAGCTGGGTCATTCAGACAAATGGAGCAATGTTGATTCCAGGGTAGAAGAGATCAGAACCAGGGCCAAATGAAGAGGGGTGTCATGGAAAAGAAGAGGCATCAGAGTTATAAGCAGGAGAAAAGAAAGGAGAGTCAGCTGTACAGTCCAATAGTGCGAAAAGATGATTTTTGTCAGGGAGCCAGACTAAACATGAAGGAGTGACTCAGAGAAATGACACTGAGGTGTTGGGATGCTCAGATAGCTTGGTAGCAGAGCATGTTCAGGAGACCCTGGCTCCTAGCCCCAGCAACCACTGAAAAAGGGAGCTGCTTGTTTCTTATCTTTTTATAAGCTCAGCTGAGTGTTTTCCCTTTATTTTAAAGGATAGCTCTGAGACTTGAGATGAGCATGTTACCGAAGGCTGGAAGTCTGAGGTCCCATTCTTTAGGTGGGCTACTCAGTCACTTTCTGAGAGCCCTCAGGCAGGTTTCTTCCACCCTCTTAGAGTGAAGGTTTGGGGTGTGGGGTTTCAAATGGCCTCTGTTTTATCCTGTTGTATCATATTACTTGACAGAATTGATTTCGAGTTGAGAAGAAAACTCGAACAACCATTTGGAATCTGCGTGTGCCTCATGCACAGCGCATGGATTTAGTGCTAAGCACTTCATGGAAACAAACAATTATAATTGTTTTAATTATCCAGGGTAGTTAGTAATTTTGAGAAGACTTGGGAGCTCTGTCTTGAGAATGCTGTTATTAGCCTGTCACTTTGCAACAGTCTTTCCAGTACAAGCATGATAATTTCAGTGTCCCAGGAGTGGAGGCATGGATGCTATTAAGGTAGTAATCTTGTGGGTTATTTTTTCCTTTTTTTTTTTTTCTTCTCTTAAGTATAAAGGGTGACTGAGCAGTGAGAGTCAGTTTAACTCTATGCAACTAATCTGGCAATTTAAATCAGATGCCCCCTGCCCAGGTCACGGCCAGGCCTCCATAAAGCCTCAGGCAATGATGCATTCTCATTTCCTTGTAGTTTTCAAAATATGTCAGCCAGAAAGTCTCACCTATCAGATACTATGCTATGTAATTCCAGAATTCTCTTTGCAATCTGCTTTCCTTCAGCACCAATATGGCCAAGGGCAAAAGGGACAGGCAGCTGTTCAACTGAGTCTCCTGGACCCCCTAGGACACTCAAAGGCACATGGCCGGAACTCTTCCAGAGCATGTAATCCCAGGCAATTTGAAGGCTCCCATCTTTCACACATGCAGCACTTTGAACAGTTTTGTGTTTCCCCGAAACCAAATGAAAAGTGGTTGTAACTTGGTGTGAATCTCACACATGCACAACTCTGAGAGTTGCTCTCTCTGCTTACCCCCATGAGGAAATCTTAAGTACCCAGTTAAACTGCTTCCCTTCAAGGTTTATGGCTGAGTTCAGTGGGTTCTGGGGAAAGGGCCTCTGTTGACTTCCTACTTCGTCTTTGTTGTTTTATGGGCAACAGCACCTTGCTCTCCACCAAATGCTGAAAGACAAGATTGACTGCTAAGGAAAGTTCCATTTTAGAAAGAGCTGCTTCTGCCTGCTAGTGAGCCGCTCCGGGCTCTGATAGCTCTCTTCTTAACATGAGTTAACCCCCAGAAGGGTGAAGCTTTTCTGTCATGACCTAAAGAATTCACCTTGTCTACATCTCTAGGCAGCTTCCACGGTGTGGTTTCTCCTCCCATTTCCCATTTAATTCTTAGAAAATACATTGCATTTGATGATCGTAATGCATGCCACACCTTTTGCAGTTTCAGAATACGTATATATTTTAATATCTGACTGCCTATTCTGCCTCTCTAAATCTTGAAAAGTATTATTAATTTATTAATTAACTAATTCATTTATTTATTGTGTGTGAAAGAGACAAAGAGAGGAGAGGGAGAGCATGTATATGTGTGTGTATGCCATGCTACAAAACAGCTCAAGGGAGTTTGTTCAGTCTTTCACCACGTTGGTCCCAGAGAGCCAGCTCAGGTCACCAAGGTTTAGTAACAAGTGCTTTTATCAGCTCAGTCATCTAGTTGGGCCCAGAGTATTTGTATTTTTGATGAAGAGTAAATGTAGTTTTTAAGAATAGTGCCAGAGTTTAATCTTCAAAGAGTCCTTTGGATTCCTAGGTCAATAGAGTCTAAGCAATGAGAAATCTTTCTCTTTAGGAAAGACTAAGCTCAATGAGGATGAAATGCTTGCTGTTGCTTTGGAGACAACTGACTGTGGAGCAGTTCCAGGAAGGTGAATAGGAGTCAGCTGAAAAAGTGGTACCAAACAAAGCTGTGAATTCCACCCCAGGAAACAGGAAAGAAAACGGCAGGTGGAGTTAGCTTCTTTAAGAGCTGAGGGAGTAAAAGAGAGGCTTGGCTGTTTTGTCACTATGCCAGCAGAGGGCGTAAGGTACGGCAAAGGTTGCTTTGCTTTTCAGGCTGGTGGAAATAGGGAGGGATGTGGATACAAGCACCTGTGCATCACATACAAACAACACCAACTCACACATAGGATTAAAAAAAAAAAAAGGCAGCTTAGAAAATGAAAAGAAAACCCCAGTAGACTTCAAAGTGTGACCTAAAAAGAAAAACTCAGTAGACCTCAAAGTGGAGGTGTCTGCACACACTTACCTGGTAGGAGGCAAGACTCTAGAGCCTGCAAAGAGAATGCCTGCAGTAACTAGACTATTTGCTCCTTCCCCATTGTCATGTCTATGGCCTTCCTTCACTTCTATCATCTTCACTTCCACACCCATGACAGTACCTTAAAGTTTCTTCTTGCTCCGTGTTTTCCCCATCTTTTATTCATCCCTTTCACCTTTGTTGCTCAAAGTAGTCTTAATAATCAGCATTTCTTCCATGGGGGTGGGGGGGCATGAGCAGTGAGAAACTCAGGTGCTCAGACTTCAGCGCAGACTTTATTTTTGAATGAGACCTCCCCCAATGGATTAGCATGAAATTCATAGTGCTCTACTTTCTGCCTTTCGTTTCTAAAATCAGATTTTGATTATGTTAGTATCTTATTTAAAGTCAGTCATGTCTTTTGTGCCCTCCCTGGGGCCCACATTTGGAGGCTTAACTTCATTTACTGGGAAACACACTCTCTGGAATGAATGGTTCCTGTCCACCTTTCTACCTACCGATCTCACATTTTCCCCTAACAATAGCAAAATTCTTGGTAGGTTATAGATAAAATTTTCTAGTATTTCCATTTCTGAGCCTCTCTTTATTTTGTTTTGTTTTGTTTTTTTCCAGTTCTTCCTTCATGCCTGGTTGCATTGGGTGTCTCCTCTGCCAGAGGTCTCTTGTGCTACCTAGTATCCCATTTTTTAGGAGGATAGTTGAACTTTAGATGAGCTCTCATAATGACCCAGCACAAAGGCACATGGCCCTTCTTGCTGCTGTGATTATCAGTGTGACTCCATTGCCTGCCACTCTATGTGTTCCTTCATGGTACTCACATCGTGTCTTGCTCACATCAATCTCACACTATATGGTAGTTCTGTTTAGAAGGCAGGCAGTGCCTTACTGTTATCCAAGGGAGTTGAGACCAAAAGAAGAATCACGACTGGAGCCTCAATTTCTTGAGTAAGGGGACTGAATGATGTCAGAGACTCTAAATCTACAAAGGAGCTTGATTAGAATGCTATAATGTGACAATGTGCCAACTTAAACAAGAGCAGGCAGAACCTCAGAAGTTCTAAAGGATAAAATAAGAAAGTCGTATAAGAGCAGATATTGTGAGAAAAAAATCAGAACACAAATGTTTAAGAAATGCAGTGTTATGTGCAGAAAAAAATTAAAAGCTGAATGATGAGAAAGAACCAAAAATCCTACCTATTATGTAACACATTCCACAGGGCTGGCCAATTTCAATGTACACTAAGAAGGGAAATGCCCGTCCCCAGATGGGGGTGGAGTGTTTGAGCCACAGGAGCGTCCAGAGTCCAAATGCAAAAATGCCAAAGCCTTCAAAAATCATTTGGCAATATTTAGAGGGATGCAAGAATCAGTGGATTATGGTAATAAACATGATAGGATATCTTATGGAAGGGGCGAAAGAAAGCTTTATTTGAAACTCTCCTATGAATGGCTTTATATTTTTTTATGACTACTGAAGCATTTAAGTATGTAAACACACGTAGATAAAAATGTGTTAGAGTGTGGTAGTGTTGATAGGGAGTAGGTGTTCCTATGGAAAATCAGAATAAAAATGGAGGTGGTGGGGGAGGGAGAGAGGGAGGAACAAAGAGACTATCTCAAGCTTTTAAAACTGTTTGCAAAGAAACTGGAGTCTATGACGGAATTTAGATCTCATGACAGAAATGTTTCGTTGGTGTTAGAAAAAGTATTGCTGTCATCCCTCTCACTTTAGAAATTTTTTTCTTCATAATAAAAGTTCCGTGGCAGCTCCTTGTCTGGCGGACTTTAAAAATAGGAGCGATTTCATCTGTCTGGAATGGTCTGTGTCAGCACTTGCCCTAGGCAAGGTTGCCACATAGGCACAAAACAGCCCCACTCCCATCCCCCCCAGCCGCCACTCTCCTCTCCCATCAGACCCCCCTCCCACCTATGCCCTTTGCACCCCTACTTCCAGCTCCAGTCCTAACTCCCTTTTCTTGGACCATAGTTTTAGCATGATTTCCCACATCAAATCAAACCCGTCTTCCCTCAGCCCAGCAGCCATTCTCCAGGTGCGAGAGGGTGCGATCTGTTTTGCCCTTTGTGGCCTCTTTTGAGTTTAAAAATAGGACCCTGGTTAACCCAAATGAAACTTAAATTGGAGCTCTGTGCAGTGTAACCAAGTGGAGGGCAGCGCAGGGGGGAAGGGGCATATTTTTGGTCAGTGGGGGAAGTGGTGGGGAGGTGGGCTGCCTTCCTGGAAACCATTAAATCCCAGATGTAAGCTCTGCTCAGTGTACCACTGCCTTAGGATGACCTCTGCCCTCTCATGGTTGCTGTTAATTCTATGGCTCAGTGACTTCAAGCTCCACTTCCATGCACCCACACCTGGCTTCTCTCTCAGGAGTATGGGTATCCTGTGTCTTTGCTTTTTTTTAATTAAATTTTTATATTAATTACAATTTATTCACTTTGTATCCCAGCTGTAGTCCCTTCTTCATTCCCTCCCAGTCCCACCTTCCCTCCCTCATATCCTCTCAAGCCCTTCTCCAAGTCCACTGATAGGGAAGGTCCTCCACCCCTTCCATCTGACCCTAGCTTATCAGGTTTCATCAGGACTGGCTTCATTGTCCTTCTCTGTGGCCTGGCAAGGCTGCTCCCTCTTCAGGGGGAGGTAGTCAAAGAGCCAGCCAAACTAGGGGTTTTAGCAGCATGTCTTTGTGCCATTCAGCCAGTGCCCAATTTTCCCATCACAATGCTTAAGTTCAGTGATAGTGTCCCTTAAAGTCATACTGAGCTCAAAGAGATTTGCACAGAGGCCTCTTCAAAGTGCCTGTTCCCAGGGAAGGTTAAGGCACTTCCTTGTGCTCACAGAGTGTGTGGGCTTTATGAAGAAAAATATGTGTGGCTTATGTGAACAGAATATGTTATATGCAAATTTCATGGACAAAGCTGCAAAATGAAATTTCCTTAAAGAACAGCTATGATGAATTTGTTCAACTTATGTTAGAACAACAAGCACTCAAGGACCTCAACTGTACATCAAGGTCTGAGTTAGAACTGGGGAGTAACAAGGAAATGATAGGTTGGTCTTTGCTGTGGCAGAATTTTTTTTTTTTATAAAGGGGAAGGTAGACAAGCATGGTAAGAAGTGTCCTGACTGAAGAAGCCAGGATGATTGGGAGCTCAGATAGCATCAGGAAAGCTCTCCTAGAGCAGTGACATCTGAGCTGAGTAGGAGGAAGCCAAACCGAAAATGATGGGAAGGGCAGGCTGTGGAGCAGGAATTCCATGAGCAGAGGCACACAGGCATGAAGTGCCTTGACATGTCAGGGGAACTGCAAGCAGGCTGAGATTAGTAGAACAGTGTGTTAGTGAGAGGAGCAAAAATGCAGCTGGAGAGGCAAGCAGGCAGCCAGAGGAGGGGGTCACCAGCTTCCCTCACTAAGCAGTGAAGCTGTACCCAAATGAGACCCCCTGAAGGATTTGAAGCAGGGTCATATTATTAATGTCTTGATTAAACCGTCTGTCGGTTTAGGGGAAAATCATTCAAGCGGCCTGTGATAACTGAATTAAGGGCTTTTATGTGAAGGATAATTGTGCAGATCTAGCCAGAGCTAACTGCAAGGCTATCTCTTCCAAAAGGGTTTGTCATTCCTCTGAGGAGGTTTTAGGGATGGGACTAAAACCATCTGTAGGTAGATTTGTGTCTGTATCTGTAACGCTCTCAACATCCTTAGGGGTGTGCAGGTCCTCTAAATGGAAGAAAGGAATTGCTTTTGGCCTTTATGAAACATCACACATTAGGAACTCAAACTGTGCCATAATCTCTTTATTGTGTTTAGCAAAAATCATCCGGAAAGGCGCTTTTTAACCTGAGCTGCAGCCATCTCAATCTTGCTGAAAAGGAATATTTTGGATTAGAATTCTGCAGCCATTCTGGAAATAACGTAAGTAGGCTTCATTACAGGATTCTGGGTGTCCAGAAATGCTTTCAAATGCAGTTTGCACCTAGGTGTGTAGGGTTCAATCCCAGATTAAAAATGTGAAACCTGTTTATACCTTGCAAAATTCTTTTGTTTAAAACTGTCGTCCCTCCCCCTACCTTCTTTATTAAGTTACCTCGGTTTGCCAATTGAATTCTTCTGCCTCGTGATCTTTTTGTTGTTGTTGTTACTCTTTGACCAAAGCATTATCTACTTCAGCTGGTTGGACCTCAACCCCCAGAGTTAAAACTCCTGACCTCATGACTGTCAAGGGAGATTTCTTCCCATTTCTCTGGCCCTAACAGTCACAAGGTTCTTCCGCTGCATTCTGCCTTGGCACATCTCTAACCTGCCCCCTATCTGGAAAGGCTCATTATTAAGTGAACACTGGTGTGTGTGTGTAGGGGGTGTCAGACATAAATGTGAAATGAAGCCAAATGCCTTTATGAGACTGTAGCCACTGAAGAGCCTTGCCTGTCATACCTCTAGCATCCTACTGAGGCAAGAAGCAGTGATTGAAATATCAACACCACAGAGTTTGTAGATCAACAGTGTATGCTCTTATTAAAAAAAAAAAAAAAACTACGGGGGGGCTGACAACTCTTTGACATGACTGTTTGTCTTCAGTTATCTATTTGAAATCTGTAGTCCTGGTGTTTGTTCATTTGATGTTGACCTTTGTTTGGTACCAAAAAAAAAGAGAAAGAAAATAGCTGTACTCACCACTGTTGGGCTCTATCAATTGTTATATTTTGATGTTATTACAGGTTTGGTTGGAACTTCTGAAGCCCATAACAAAGCAAGTAAAAAGTAAGTATGGAAGATTACTAGAGGAATGTAGTCCTCACTTCATACTGGAGAAATACTGTTATCTGTCCAGTAAATTTAGCAATTGAGAAATTGTCATAATTTTCTCTGAGATGAAGAAGCTCATGCTGCTGGATCTTGGAGCACAACTGAAGAGTTCTGGGAATTATTCCATCTGCGGATTGCATGTAGGCATATATCTCATTCTCTGATGCTGGGTTTCTTCAAGTACCCTTAATGCCAATCTGCAATAATGTTCAACTTCTGCCTGAAGTTTCTTTTCTTTCATGCAGTCACAAGCTTTGCCCTTTGCAATGACTCCTGCATCTCACACTCTGGAATATGTATTCTCACATTTTCGTGGGAATTAAGCTCATCTGGATTTTCTGTTAAAATGTAAACAGATGCCTGGACCTCATTCCTGGGACAAAAGTCCAAAGGCATGCACATTTAACTAATTCCACAGGTTTTTGTTGTTGTTGTTGTTGTTGTTGTTGTTGTTTTGTTTTGGTTTTTTTTGGACAGTGGGTCTTAATTAACACTTTGGAAATGCTTGCTCAGTGTGTCTTTCTGGTTCCCTATTCCCTACTCCACTCTGCTCTTCTCACATTGACCCATTTTGTGACCCTGCTTCGTCCAGTTCTGTGATTACATCACATAATTCCATTAGCTACTAAACTGATTTTCTCCAATTAAGCATCTACATTTCTCTCCAATGGATTGATTGAAATATACAACCCTGACCGTATCTTTCTCCTGCTTAAAATGCTTACATAGCTCCCTAATTACCTTTAAAGTTCGGCCTTATTAACATGGTATACAAAGCTCTGGACTCTATTGTAAACACTTTTGTTTCTGCCACTAACCATTTCAATTCCTGCTCCTGCTAAATTACTTAGCTGTCAACTTCCTCAACCTAGGCTCTGTGGCATTCAAATCGGTCTGTTTAATTGTTTGTCTCTCTGATGAGACTGGAAGCACTTGAGTATATTTTAACTTCCAGTATTGTCTTAGAACAATATCTAGCACATGACAGATAACTAGAAAAGATACGTTGAATGGGGGCTGGAGAGATGGCTCAGAGTTCAAAAGCACTGTCTGCTCTTCCATAGATCCTGAGTTCAATTCACAGCAACCACTGGTGGCTTACAATCATCTATAAATGAGATCTGGTGCCCTCTTCTGGCATGCAGGCATACATGCAAGCAAAACATAGTATACATAAGAAAAAAATTTAAAAAAAAGAAATTTATTTTTAAAAGATATATTGAATGGATAATACTGTTGCTACATGTGTGTGCTTACTTTTGATCTAATAAACTATTCTTCCTTGCTGGTGGTATTGAGGTTGCAAACCAGGACCTTGTACTTGTTAGCAAAGTATCCTACAACTGAGTTCCACCCTCAGTCTCAAGTTTCTCATTTTCAAATGCAAGTAGGTGTGGAAATACATAGATGTGGCTTTTCAGGAAATATAGCTAAAGACTGATAGAGATATTGTTCCACATTGTTTCTCATTCCGGTTATGAAATCCTTAAGACATCTCTTCATGTGCTTGAGCTGAAGCTGGGCCCTTTTCTCAGGTGTGATTGAACTGTCACAGATAGCGAGTTGTAAATAGTCTTTTTGAAGGACTCACTTCTTAAGAAAAGACAGAGTAGGCCTCAAATGAACACATCTTTACAAAGGAAACTCAAAGGGATAAAGGGTGTTTAGGAAGGATTAGTTGGAGGACTTTCTTAATTGCTATACACATAGGATCCCAATCCAGAAATAATAATAATATACATGTGAAAAGTTGAAATGTAAAATAAGTCTACGGAAGGAGTAATGAAAAGAGAAGGGAAATGAAACAGTGTGTATGTGAGGGGAGTGTTTTAACTGTTGTAATGAACATTTAAAGAAAACTTATGGAGCTATTGTGTTTTAAGATCCTAAGGAGGTTGTTTTCAAATTTATGGTGAAATTTTTCCCAGTGGACCCTGGACATCTTCGGGAAGAACTCACAAGGTGAGTTTAACTATGTGTGTGCTGAATGATGTTAAGTTAAAAATTCCTGTTTTCCAGCTATTGAAGAAAGGACTCTGAATTTTTTTTTTTTTTTTTTTTTTTTTGTATGGCTTAAGATTAAGTTACTTTCTGGGAAAAGGTGAAGGACTAGACACTGATTCTTAACCTGTGAGTCATGAGCCCTTTGGGGATAAAATGATCTTTTCACAGGGGTTACCTGAGAACATTGGAAACCATATTTACTTTACTATTCATAACAGTAGAAAAATTACAGTTATGGAGTAACAATAGAAGTAATTTTATGGTTGGGAGTGACCACAACATGAAGAACTGTAGTAAAGGGTCACAGCATTAGGAAGGCTGAGAACCAGTGGGATAGAAAAAGGGAGGAGCTAGCTACCTCCCCTCAAATGTTAATTTCTCTTTATTTCAAAACTAAGACGGAATGGCATTCTAGAATTAGTAGCAAAGCAGGTGTCATTTTGAGGCTTAACCCATTAAATGCCACAACAGTACTCATGATCAGTTTCATACCATCTGTATTTTAATCAGCATAGATTTGAGGCTGGTCACTGCTTGTGATCATTGAAAATGAATGTGTGTATTGATGTATCCCATAAGCAGAAAGGGAAAACATCTGTAATGACACTATATACTTATGAACAATGCTCTTTATAATTGTAATGAAAACCTACTTCAGAAAAATGATACTGTTATTGTAACACTCCTCCCAAAACTTATTCTGCTTTCTAGATTGAGACTGCTACACGTAGAAAGGATCTAAGAGATATTCTTCCACAGCTCTTTTAGCTTATAGATAAGGGACATATCCTGGAAGCTAAAGTTAACTGAGTTAAAAAAATCACAGGTGTTTGGGAATTAATCTTCCTGCTGTCTGGCCCTTCTACATGGGGCCAATTGACTTACTCTTTTGGTGTGGGGTCTTTGCACAAGTTGTTTTTCTCTCTTCACCTAATTCTCTCAAAATGTGTTTCTTTTCAATTATTTGCCAAGATACCTTAATATCTTGCTCTGTAGATTAGTTTGTATTCACTAACCCAGTAGCAACAACTAAAATGAATAGTGCTTACCTGTTGTAGAAATTGTGATTATGCCTTGTTTGGGACCAATGCAGGGGCTTCTGTGAATACTATACAAAAATAACTATTTTAACTGAATCATTTCTAGTGCGTTAGAGTTACACATGATTTGAAAGGATATAATACTTAAAACTTTCATGAACTGAATAAATCACTTGACAAGAATCTTCAGGCCAAATTTTCATTTATCATCTGCAACTACTTATCTTTTACTACATTGCCTTTAGGGCATAAGCTACTGAAAAAATCCACATAGAATTTAATCTAAAAATTATATGTTATATAGGAAAATACTCACAGCAGGTAATGCTTGTTTTTTCATATAAAGGAAAATATCAGAACTGATTTTTGCTCTGGAAAAGAAAGCAGATAATGTGATGTCTTTCAATGTGGTGTGTTTCTTATACACTCATTCACCAAAAAGTGGGTTCTGGGACTGGAGACATGGTTCAGTAGAAAAGTACTTGCCACACAAGTGTGAAGCCCTGAGTTCAAATCTCTGCAAGCCACATAGAGCTGGGAATAGGGCATATCTGTAATCCCAGAGCTTCTATGGTGAGATGAGAGTCATATCTAGAAGCATGCACGCCAGTTAAGTTGATGCATAAAACAACAAATGGTAAAGAAATTCTATTTCACATAAGGTGGAAGGCAGCGTCTGATATCCGAGGTTTTCTTGGCTGACCTCTGTACATACACATATGAATGTACACATCCACTTATACACAAACATCATAAACACATCATAAATATACACACTATAAATACATACACACTATAAATACACACACACACATATGCAGACACAAAAATGAGTTCTCCTTTAGTTAGGCCTTAAGTATGTGTGGTAAATGTTCAGTTTGGCAGAGCCCTAAACTCAACCTGCCTTTTATGGTCCCTGATGAAGTTTCTGCATTGATGAGGTCATCAACCATTAGTTTCATACCTATTGTTTATAAAGTACTCAATTGGGCTCTGGTTGATACTAACATAGTAATTCAGGAAAAGGAATCAGATGAGCACAGGCATGGTTTGATGGCTTGATTCCTGACTTATGCTCTTTGAACAGGTATCCTAGGTATCAATGGCAGACATTAAGTTCTAAGCACAATTTTAGTATCTTAGAGTGCTACCACCTGGTCAGAAAGGCTTGTGGCCTGCCTTGGTATCACTATAAAATTGAGTGATTGCTCTTGCTCTTCTAAACTCTGGAATTCTTATGGCTCTAGGCCTACCTGACAACTCTTTGTGTCCCCTAGAATCTGCTTACACTTATTTGAGGCTCCCATTTCTCCAGCCCCGGATGTGGTTGTCTCCATGGCAGAAACCACCAGAAGAGGATTGGCCCGGTCCCTCAAGCTAGCAGCAGTCTACAGCCAGGGAAATTCCTAACAGTTATAGGACCTGCCAACATGCTGGGTCAGCTGAGTTGTGGGCTGAGGTTGATTTGGTTCTGAAGCTAAGCCTATGTAATGAATCACGGCTCCAAAAGGGCCTCTGACTGACTGGATGCTCTTCCTTTCTTGAACTATCATGGGTCTGGGAGAAAGGAAATTTTTCTTCTGTATTCCTACTTCTTTGTCAAGATTTTTTCCTCAAATCCTTTTGCAGGTATCTTTTTACTCTTCAAATAAAGAAGGATTTGGCTCTGGGAAGGCTTCCGTGCAGTGACAACTGTACAGCTTTAATGGTGTCGCACATCTTACAATGTAAGTAGCATGCCTCTAATTCTTGGCCCATTCACCAGGGATAGAGCTAAGCAAAGGAGGCAAGCACCCTCGATTTGCCTGCCTAGCACTGTATTCAGCCTTAAGAGGAGACAGGACCTAGTTCAGACACAGTGAAGTGGTGCTTTATCACATTCATTGAGATCTGAATCAAATCTTGTCCCTACTACCTCAGCATTATTGTAATGCAAGCTCTTATTCCTCCGAGCCTGCAGAGTCTTGTATTTTCAATAGTGACAAGAATACTTTCTTGTGGTGGTGCTTCTGATGATTAGAAGTAAATGCCAATTTTCTCCTACCTCAGTCTACCTACCCTGCTGCCACTGTCTCTTGACTTGTTGTCTAGGAACTGGTTTGAATAATTCTTGCCATGGATTTGACCAAGTAGTCCCCACTCCCTCTGTTTGCTCTAGGGTAAGCCTCAGTTCCATGTTTTCTGCAGCACAGCTCCAGAGAATAAATTATAGAAGGGAGAAGTTGGAAAAGGGATAAAAGGTCCCAGGCATATATTAATGTTCCCCATGGGTTAGCGCCCAAGTAGTTTGTCGAGAAGGAACACTGAAGATACACTGGAGGAGGCCTGGGGAAGAGTGAGGGACTGCCTGGGAGGGAGGCCAGGGTATGATATTCCTGCAGCCTGGAGGTAAGTTTCTAGGCATCTTTTCTAACATCTAACATCTCTTCTAAGGCCAGCTGGACTTTCTCATTTTGGAGAGGCCTTCCATGAATATACTGTTCCTTGATAATCTGGCAGAATCGTAACTTCAGGGTTTTTGTTTATTTGTTTGTTTGTTTGTTATTGCCTAAGATCATTGATGACCTTTGTTCATTACCTTCCTACCAGTCCATAAATCATAGATTTCAGATTTCACTGAAAACAACACGCTAAAGCACTTGGATAGGGACCATGTCCTAGACAGTGTACCAAGTGATTCCAGGCTCCCAGAAAGGCAGCAGATGGAAAAAACTGTAAGAGTTAAGGAAGCTGATGGGGAAGATGGATTTTGTACTGGAGCTTAAAGGGGTACATGGGAGCTGGATGTGATGGTAGGCAGAGAAAACAGCATAAAAATGGTGGTGAGACAAGAAGCAGCATTTTCAGGGGATGAAGAATGACCACACACAGCTCAAGAATAGTGTCTGTCTAGGAGACATGGTGAGAAATGAAGCATCTTGAATCATCTTGAGTGCCAAGGTCACTTCCCTCATGCCCAGTGTCATATTTGGCATTGAGATGTGGGCCGTGGGGTAGAACTGGTAAGAGAAACATCCTTTTCTGTTATTTACATCTTCAGATAGCAGGTGAGAGGGTGGGGCTACAGGAGACCTCTTTTTTGAGTGCACAATTTTATTCTTAACAGTTCTGCCTTATGGAATTGGGCATTGCCTTGTGACAGTTTGAGGTACAGCACAGAATACTTCAGCTTTTTGGCAGGATATGTGGTCAACAGAAATTCACTTTATGGGAAAAAAAAAAAGCTGTGGTTCTAGTGAGTTACTATTTCACAATCAATCCCAGTCAGACTCAGAGGACTCAAGGTCATGGTCATGTGCAGAATCACAGTCCAGTCATCATTCATATGACCATTTACTCACCTGCCCAGTATTTGCTGAGTGCCTGCTATAAGCTAGACTGTCAAGAACCTAAGCATTCTGGGCCTGTCATATAATTGCTTACACCTCTTTTAAGCACCTCTAGCCAGATAGCCTCTACCAAATAAAATCTGTATAATTCAAATGAATCTTCCTTCTTAGAAACTCATAGTATAGCATTTCTTTGTCATTCATTGAACAACAAAAACATATCAAATAAGAACCACCTTGTTAAAGTCTGTTATAGGCATTGAGATTACAGCAATGAGCTATATAACACAAATTCTTATCTTCGAAGAGCTCGCGTTGTTTTCAGTGCAAGACAGTCAGACAATGACCAAAATAAGAGAACAAGCACACATGTGTAATGAATGTCAGGAGGTGATAAAAGCAAAGAAGACAAATAGAGCATAAATAGAAGGGAGATGGAGGGTACTAGGAGTGGATACTGGGTGTTTCGATAATGTGAGGAGGGCAAGCCTACTGTAAAGGTGACAGATGATGGAAGGCTTGAAGGAGTCAAGGAAGTAAGGCAAGGAGCAAAGAGAGGTCAACACATTGGGAATACTCAGTGAAGAAAGCCAGAGGGATGGACATGCCTAGGGTGTGTGAGAAGCATCAAAAAGGCTTTGTGGCTGGCTGGAGCCTTAGTGAGAAAACAGAGAGGAGTTAAAAGCACATTAAAGACCTAGGCCATGACTCTCAGGGAGGTGAAAAGACAGAAGCCCGAGGTAAAAGAAAAAAACAAAAAAAACAAAAAAAAAAACAACAAAACAAAACAAAACAAAACAAAAAAAACCAAAACACATTTATTTTTAATCACCAACATGAGAAGGGATTCTTGGCTTTTATTTTAAATATAAGAACAAAATCCAAATTAGGTTTTAAGAGAACCATATTGGCTTCTTCGGTTAAAAAAACAATAGAACTTAAAAGGCAATGGTGGTAGCAGGCAGAACAATAAGAGAAGATTTTAGGAGAGATGATAGGAGTTGGACCAGAAAGCCATAACATTTGGACATAAAATCTGTCACCTCCTGCTACTGGTGATACCAATTTTCTTGCTACATTGTCATAGTCCATAGAGAGAAAATTAACATAGTCTCATGGGTTTTTACATTTTTCTTATAGTTGTTATAGAGTTTTGTTCTTAAGAAACTCAAAAAAGGCACATACATGTTGTACTTGCATGTGCATGTGTATGCATGCTTTATTGAGGTTTCATTTAAATGCTCTAAAATTTACCATTTAAAATTCATAAACCAGTGGCTTTTAGTAGATTAATGTCTATCCAACTATGACTTACAGTCCAGTTTTAGAACAGTTCTATAATGTCAACCCAAACCTCTCAGGACTGGGTATGTAACTGGTAGAGTGTTTGACTAGCATGAAGGAAGCTCTAGGTTGATCTGCAGCACCATATAAAATTGAGCATGGTGGTGCATGCCTGTGATCCCAGCTTGTGGCAGTTGGAGGCCAGAGGATCAAGAATTCGGAGACATCTTCAGCTGCATAATGAATTTCAGGCTGCCGTGGGCTGCAAGAAACTGTCTCAAACACAAGCAAAGCTGAGGATGGTGCATTCTCACCGAATAAAGCAGAAGCAGGCAGATCTCTGTGAATTCAATTTTCATGCCAGCCTGATCTACACAGCAAGTTCCAGGCCTGCTTCAAAACAGAAAACAAGAGAAAGAGACAGAGCTATGGGCATTCAGTAGCTGCTGGAAAAGGGAGAATCCTTCTTCTTTGAGGGTGTGACCACTAATGGGTTTTCCATATTCCATTGTATAGCCCCATATCCATACAGATGGCAGCAGTAGTAACTGGATTTATCAAAAACTGGGTTATCAGAAACAAAAAAAGCAAAGAAGACATGCAGTTGGGGTGGGGGGACAGACAGAGACAGAGAGAGTCCTGCTTTGCCATGCTCTATTCTCCTTCTCAAATTCAGGCAATCACTGATTAAATTTCTGTTTCTATACTTTTCTTTGCCTTTTCGAAATTTCATATTAATGGAATAATTGTAAGTATGATCTTTTGCATCTGGCTTTTCCAATCAACACAGTGGGTTTTTTTTTTGAATCTATGCATATCCCAGTTTATTTCTATTGTTGAATAAGATTCCATTTTGTGGATATTACATTTTATTCATCTAGTCACCTCATCATGGATTGTTAGGAAAGTTTCTAATTTAGGTATTAAGAATAATAGTATAAACATAAGCATACATGTTTCTAGATGGATATCTTTTTTCCTCTTGTGTAGGTTTTTAGAAAAGTGATTGCCTAGTTGTATAATATATTTCTCCTAAACATTTTTATAATTATCAATGAAAATTAACTGCACAAATTAATGTACTTTACTGTGTTATCTCCATACACACATATCATTCTTTGATCAAGAGCATATGAAGCGTCTAACTTTCCCACCTTCCTTAACACTTGGAATTAATTACCTTATGGCTAACATAATGAGTATAAAGGGATATCTCATTACTTGTATAACAATCCTTTTTCTTTATTATTACTATTAATATTATTATTTGTTATATCATACAGGTATACAGTGAAATAAGGTCATACCCCACTGGTTTCTCATTCCAATTCTTTCTGCCAACAACCCCCCCCCCAACTGCATGTCTTCTTTGCTTGTTTTGTTTCTGATAACCCAGTTTTTGATAAATCCAGTTACTACTGCTGCCATCTGTAGGGATATGGGGCTATACAATGGAATATGGAAAACCCATTTGTGGTCACACCCTCAAAGAAGAAGGATTCTCCCTTTTCCAGCAGCTACTAAATGCCCATAGCTCCCCAGTAAAGCATGGGGCCCAGAGACCAACTCCCCTACCCTACCTGAACCAGATTTTGGACTCATTTCATCTTGTGCAGGTAATCACAGCTGCTGTGAGGTCAAAGCGTGGTAGCCTTGTCATGTCCAGAAGACAGCATTTCATAGAACACCTCACTATCCTCTAGCCCTTTTATTCTCTCTGCCTCCTATTCTTCTACATTCCCTGAATTACGGTGGTGGTGGTGAGAATAATCCATTTAGAGCTGAACATTAAATTTCGTATTTTCAACACTTTGACTAATTATGAGTCTTTGCTCTGACAGCTGCCCGGTGCAAAGGGAAGCTTCTCTGAATAGCCCAGGTGTGTGGGTATGAATAAAAATTTTAGCCAGCATTATTCTAACCACCAACCAATGATTTTGAACATCTTTTTATGTGTTTATTCCTGTTTTTCATCACTGCCCTTTTAAAAATATGTTGCACATTTTAAAATGAGCAAATTATATCTTACCATTAGATTTTAAATAGTCTTTTTAAAACAAATTGTGAGAGCCACAAGACATTCTTCTCCGTAGTTATCTTTTGGATCGTGGGGTCTCTGATCCATTTAGAGTTCACTTTCAGTATGTTCAGTTGGTGTGCTGCCTGAGGTCACAGGAAAACTTCCAGCTATTTAGAAAGGACAGAAGGATTTGTCTACGAAGGATTCTGGTAGAATTGCTGGGTATTTGCTAGATTCCCAATGTACAGAGGGATGCTTGGGCTCTAACTGGCTGCGTCATAGTATTTTTCACATAGATTTTCATTTGTTCTGGAACAATTCATTGAAAAGATTTTTATTAATTTCATTGCACTATCTTGTCAAAAACAATCCTGAGAGTTTACTTCTTGATTCTTCACGCTTCACTGTTTTGTATGGGCTTCTTGAAGGTTTATAAATATCGGATCTTTGTGTCTCTAAGAAAACTGCATTCTTTCTACCACAGAACTTTTATGTATCTTTATCTGATCATAGTTAATGCACTCATAAGTACAGTGCTGAGTGATGAGGCAAAACCAGGCATCTTTATTTTATTCCTGGTTTTAAGGGAAAGTATTCTGTCACCATGTGATATGACTATATTGTTAGCCACAGGCTTTTCATAGATAAATTATATTAGGTTGAACCTAGTTCCTTTAATTCCTTATTTATATAGCGATTTTAGCATAGTACATGCATTTGCTCAATATGAAAGCATTCCAGGATTCTACAGAGTGTAGTACTATTAAAGACTATATATAGCCCACATTGTATATGTATATAAATGTATGCATGCAATAACAATTAATGAAAAAGGAGGCCATGAATTTGAAGGAAAGTGGAGAAGTGTATATGGGAAGCTTTAGAGATATGAAATGGAAGGGGTAAATTGTATAATTAAGTTATGATTTCAAAATAAAACTCACTCATGTGGATCTTAGCACACGGAAGAAATATTAGAATTATAAAGAAGGAAAAATTCAAAGAAGTTTAAGGCCATTTACAGTAGGGCAGACAGTTCTAAGTACACAGCTATGTACACAGGTTTAATCTTTAATGGCTGTCTCTAACAATAAACTGGAAACATCTAAAAAAAGAGAGAAATTAGGTTCATAGATAAACTGCCAGCTATTTGGAAAGGATGAGTTGTCTATTGCGGATTCAAATTGTTGGGGATTTATTAAATACCCAGAATACAGAGTGATGACTTTGCTGTAGCCAGCTTGCACACTAGCTGATGTTATAGTTTGTGCTTATGATAATGGATAACAATAGTAGAAAGAAGTTCAGGGATATATTAGTTTTTATGAGGCTTTTCATAGGAAAACGCCAGAGACTTAGTGGCTTAAGAGAGAAAAAAATGATTTCTCACCATTCCGGAGGCTGGAAGTCCAAAGTGTTGGAAGGTTTGTCTCTTTCTTCAGCTTGGTGAATGCAGTCTTCTTTATTTATTTATTTATCTATTTATCTATCTATCTATTTATTTATTTATTTGTTTGTTTGTTTATTTATTTATTTATGTATTTGCTTTACATCCTTATTCCAATCCCTGACCTCCTATCCTCCTGGTTCAACCTTCCAACACTCTTCCCCTACTCCCTCTCCTCTGTTCCTCAGAAAAAGGGAGCCCCAGCACCAACAACTCACTCTGTCACATCAAGTTGCATCAGGACTAAATGCGTCCTCCTCCACTGAGGCCCAACAAATCAGCCAAGCTAGGGGGAAGGGATCCAAAAACAAGCAACAGAATCAGAGACAGCCTCTTACTCCCATTGTTAGGGGACCCACATGAAGACCAAGCTGCCCATAAGTTACATATGTGTTAGGGAGCTAAGTACATTCCATGTATGCTCTTTGGTTGATGGTTCAGTCTGTGAGCCCCCATGGGCCTTGGTTAGTTGACTCTGTTTGTCTTCTTGTGAATTTCTTATCCATTCCAGGTACCTCTATCCTTCCTCCCAATCTTCCATAAAACTCCTCGAGCTCAGCCTATTGCTTGGTTGTGGGTCTCTGCATCTGTTTCCACCAGCTATAATATGAAGCCTCTCATACGACAATTATGCCAGGGTCCTGTCTGCAAGCATGGCAAAGTATAATAGTATCAGGGATTGACTCTCTTCCATGGGGTGGGTTTCAAGTTAGGCCAGTCATTGTTTGGCTCTTCCCTCAATCTCTGCTCCATTTTTATCCCTGCATACCTTATAAGCAGGGTAAATATTTAGTCGAAGGTTTTGTGGGTGGGTTGGTATTTCCTTCCCTTCACTGGAGGTCCAAGGAAGTCTTCTTATTCTGTAGTCACATCATCTTTTCTTCCTGTAAATTCATCCCTAGAATCCCTACATGCCCAGTTTTCCTTTTCAAAATGGATACTAGTTAGTTAAGACTACAGCTCTCTACTTATGTTCTCAATATTGACATAATACCTCAACTGCTCTCAACTGAGTCACAGATTATGGCACCAGGAGTTGGGATTTCAACTTACAAATTTTAGGAAGACAAAATTTAGTCTGTAACAGAAGCTAAATGAAAGTAGACCAAACTACAAAAGGAGTATAGAAGATTGAAACCCTAACAAAATATTCAAGAGTGATTGTAGAGCTATTAAGGTCTATTCTGGGTGTGTAACTCATGATACAGCCCGAGACTTCCCAGAAACTCACTGCTGTTAGTTGAGAACGAGTCTGTTAGTGTTCCCCTGTACAAACACAAATATACAGACAGCATGAGGGTGTGGTGGGAGCGTAAGACTACACCAGCTAAGTAGAAAAGGTTGTTTAGGTCTTTTAGGTTGTACATTTTAAAAAATTTCTCAATGGAAATGTAAAAAGTGTCACTTTTGTATTGTACAGCAGAGTTAGGAGACTTCCATGAAGAAACGGTTAGGAAGCATCTGGAACAAACCCAGTACTTACCAAGCCAAGCCTGTTTAGAGAGCAAGATCATCCACTTTCATCAGCAGCACATGTAAGTACGTTCCCTGGCACAAGCTTTCCCAGTGGAGAACACTAAGGCTAGAATAGACTCCTAAAACAAGCCTTTATGTCTGAGAAGCTTCAGTCTCAAGAAAATGCTTAGCTCCTTCCAGAGATCTCAGAGGAAAGGTTTGGGTGGGTGGGGGGGGGGGTCAGTGATTTTTTTTTTCTGCAATTATTGAGCTCATGAATCCTTTCCCATTACAGTGGCCGAAGCCCAGCTGAATCAGACATTCTGCTACTGGACATAGCAAGGAAGCTGGATATGTATGGCATCAGGCCTCAGCCCGCCAGTGATGGTGAAGGGATGCAGATTCACCTGGCGGTTGCCCACATGGGAGTACTGGTGCTAAGGGTAACCCTCTCCTTGAGTGCCCTTCAGTCTGTGGAGGTGGTTAGCATGACTTCAGCTTGAGTATCTGTTCGCCAGACTGTTATGAGGCTTTGTCTTTTCACTAACCAGAAGGGACATAATACTTGCAAATAGTATGCATAGATCCTCTTCCCACAATATGCTTTACCTCTGGGTGGTCAGGAAGGTATGGTCTGGATTTTGAGGCCATCACAGTTTCAATCAGGCCAGGGTGGCAAAGTGATACAGTCAAAAAGCTCTTAGGGACTCTTAGACTGGAGATGCAGAGATCCAAAAACCTTAGTCTGTAGTGCTTTCCAGATTGTTAACAAAATCACCCAAAGTGATCCAAACAGAGATGTGCCCTTACTCATTGCTCTTAACATTGCAGATGACCAGTGCTAGTTAAGAGGGAATTAAAGCCAAATTCTTCCAGCAACAGTTGCTGTTTACCAGATCATTGCTTTCTCAGGATTTTATATGTCAAGTTACAAATCAACTTGAGGAGCCACTGTCTTCTGTCATTCTCCCCCCAGCTCCTCTAAGCAATTTTTATTTTCCTGTTCTGTTTAAAACAAAAATTGTTTAGAGGAGCTAGAAATGGAGTGGGCTGCCATTAGAATAGCCCAGGGAGTGTGCAATCATCACTGGTAAGAAGTTTGGTGATACAGAAGGCATTTGGAGCAGGGGGAGAATGAGGAGACCACAGGACTGAAGGTACAGATTTAGAAGTTTAGACTAAAAAACAGGAGAGATGGCTGTTTATTGAATAGCAACATCCAAGCCAGACTTGGTAATATAACCAGTGAGGAGCTACTGAAGATGGGTGAATAAAGGAGAGAGCAGAATAAATGGGCTTTTCCTTTTAGCACTTCTATGTGGAAATAGTGAGGGGTGAGATTGCAGAAGTTATTATAACAATGCATTCTACTACAGTCTCCCTCTACTGGCTTAAAAGTCTCCCTGATGCTCTTTCTTGCTCATATTCTGGAGAAACAGCAAAGTTTCAGGGCAGCCTCTGCTTAGTTTCCCAAGATCTCTCCGGGTAAGGAAAGCCTCAGATGATCTTATTCATGAAGAGTACTTTTCATCATACTTCTACTGTGGCATGACCTGACTCATGTTGATATGCTCTGAAATGGACCGTGTGTTTCATTACAGGGAAATACAAAGATTAATACTTTCAACTGGGCTAAGATTCGCAAACTTAGCTTTAAGAGAAAACATTTTCTCATCAAACTTCATGCTAATATTTTGGTGAGTAGGTTTCTAATAAAATGTATTTCTGTTCACTTGGAATTTCATAATTGCTCTAGAAATGGTTTGACTATAAATGGTGAAAGATGCCTGGCCCTGAGAGGTGAGGGGCCCTCTTTTTGTCCTCTATAAACTGAGGAGGGATTTAATCATGCTTTAACTAAAGGAAAAATACGACGTCATCTGATTTGTACTTCAGCATAAGTGATACTATAGGAAAATGAAACAGTTGGGCTGAAAGGCAAGTCTCTGTGGATAGCATTTTGAAGGATCTGATGGGTCAAATGGAGGTCACCAGCTCTAGGGCTACAGAAATAATTCTTTGATGGTCTCTTTTTATTATTTTATGAAATATCTTCACTAACTTTCCTTAAGCAAAAATTATTGAACATCAGGTATATGTTTAGACTGAAGAGAATGTGAGAAGTGGGTATTCATATAAGCAAAATAAGTAATTCTTAGGTGACTTGTCAATGCATGGGGTAAGAAAAAAAGTGTTAGAAAGGATTTTTTAATGACTGGCCATGAAGGGCAAAACTGCATGTGTATCAATAATTTGGGTCTATAGAAGATCCAGTTTGGATTATATTTCCTGGGTCTTGATATTGTCTAAAGGTGTTTATTTGACTAATTCATGGGACCAGACCTAGTGTGAACCTCGTGGGGAGAGCCTCAAGGGTTGCATGCAAGAACCTGGAAAGGAATGAGAGAAGGGGGCACTCAGTTCAGAGAGCTGGTGGGGCTGTTGAAAAGAAGGCTGGGAGCCTGCCATAGAGCCTTGGGCTAATGAGGCTATGTGGTGACTCAGGATGGGAAAAGCTTGTACTTTCGAACTATAAATCCAAGTTCCCTTACGACACATTAAAATATGAACTATGCCAAGAGAGAAATACAAAGAATGAGAGACCATATAGAGGAAGGTGTATTTCTAACTGGGATATTGAAAACACTTGTGTACATGCAATCATCCTGACAGAGGGAAGGAAATCTGTCCCCAACCCTTTCCTGTTGGTCATTTATAATTTCTTGCCACCTCGAAATGCCCTTTGATACTCATTTTCACCTAACTTACAACTTCATAAAAAGGTTTCTGGCATCCAAGAGGCAAGGCAGAAAAAATAATGTAAGTTGAGGGGCGTGTGTAAAGGAAGCCTGGCTTTTTAGACAAGGCTTGGTATGAGTGGAGGCCGTGTCTGATCTTCGGAAGGTTGCTAGTCATTCAATTTCAGTGGCTGTGGAGCCGATGGGGAGATAAACAGAAAACCAGATGCTGCATGGGATACTGGACTGACAGTTTAGAAGGCAGTGAGAGCTTTGGTATCCTCACAGGACATTATGCTTGATAGAAAATAATTTATACAGGTATTGTGCAAGGACACTTTGGAGTTCACTATGGCCAGCCGAGATGCCTGTAAGGCTTTCTGGAAGATTTGTGTGGAGTACCATGCTTTCTTCAGGCTTTCTGAAGAGCCCAAATCAAAACCCAGAACACTACTCTGCAGCAAGGGTTCCAGTTTCCGCTACAGGTAATTGTGCACAGCAGCTAGAAAAACCATGCACGTGACTTCTTTTCAATAACCTGGAAAGCAGTGGGAAGAATCTGAATTCCAGGAGCAATAAATAATTCATTTAAATATCTTGAAAGATTATGCATATTCCTTACTGTTTTTTCTTGCACATTGTATTAAGTTCGTATTTACTAACCAAAGGGGTTGGATCAGAAACACAGTGAGGATATAGGGAAGCAGAGGGTGTTTGAAAAACTGTATTCAACAACCTCACTGTTTTCCTTTAAGGCAGCTTATATGAAAGTCGTGGAAGGATACTTCAACAGTCTCCATTAAAGGCATTTAGGTAAAAGATAGTGAGAAAACACTGGAGGGGCCAAAGGATTAAAAAGATGGAGCAGTCCTCCCCTGAAGGTGTCTCAGTACAGCTCACACCTTAGAGGAACTGAAATGAGGTAGAATTAACATCTTGTTTCTATTTAAACAACTAGCCTTGAGATCCACTGGAAGAAGCTTACAAAGCTCTGATGAATAAAAAAAAATAATAACTCTAATAACATAAAAGATTTTTCAGACTGTGGAAACCTGTCCTTGTACGAATAGGTATTTTAAAAAAAAATTACACACACACACACACACACAGTTTTGATGGAATGTTTCCAAAGTGTTTTCTACAGTTCCCTGTCTTTGAAAACAGATCTTATTGAGCATATTTTGCTCTTTTTTAATCACCTGAGTTCTTAGAAATCACCCTTCTTAGCCTTTGCAGGCAGATGTAGTGCAGCAATTGCCTTGGGGTAGAAGAGGCATGTCAGGCCTTGTACTTTGCTTAAATGGCTCAGACATTCGGAGTTTTATTACTATTGTGACTTCTCTTCTGCTTTTTGTGTTTCTCCCAGCAGCCAGCTCAATTTCTTAACTGGTGTCAGCCTAACTGCAGCAATTTTTTTCTGTTTAGTTAGCTGCTCTGTGTCTACCTTGGGTTGGGAATCCAAATAAACAGCCTCAGAACTAGCATATAAATAATAGGTAGGTATAAAGAGTATCAATATCATAGGGAGTCACAATGGATGACACTCATCCAGACAGTTTAGGTTTCCAACAGAGGTGAGGTTTTCATGTTTTAGAAACATATAGGCTTATGGCGGAATTAATACTTTTGTCTCTTCTTTATAATAGTGGAAGAACTCAAAGGCAACTTTTGGAATATGGGAAAAAGGGGAGGTTAAAGAGCCTGCCATTTGAAAGGTGCACATTTTTACTTCTCTCTTTTCATGCTGATTGGAAATTGAATTTAAAGATTGCTATGTATCCTATAATTTGCATAATGAACATTTCAATGACTTCTCTGTTTGGGGATTTCAGGAAACAGTATCCATCTCAGTATCATGAACGGCAGTGCAGGTCATCACCAGACATTCTCTCTGATGTGTCAAAACAAGTAAGGTTTCTGAAAAGCCCTACTTCTTTAGCTAATTATAAGTCATCCAGTCCTCAAATGTTTCCAATAATTGATTTTGCCAGAATCACCCAGTGTGTGTCAAGGCCACTCCATGTGAGATTAGTCTCTTGGAGAAGTCTGTTGGTACAGTAATTTCTGCTAGTAGACCATTTACTAAACTACAACTAATATGTGCCATGTACAGTGGCAACCCTTGGGGTACCTCCAAATTGTAATCTGTACTATTAACATCTTGAAAGAAAAACATACACTAACACACGGCTTCATAGTTTTAAATTAAAAGTCTGTTATTTCACCAGTAGAAACCATAAGGCTTCAAGAAAGCTGTATGGTGTTATTTCTTACTTGTGTAACACAATTTCAGGATCCTGTTGTGCTCCTGGAACTGTAAGATGATGGTCTCATTTGAGACTTCATGAGAAAATTGTTGATCACTTTTCTTTGGCTCTCTACAAAAGTGAATTGCAGGTGTCATAAACTCCCATGCAACTCACAGATGGTTTTTATTCAGAAGGCATGAGAGGTAAACCAATGAAAGGGACCATCTAGATTATGAATCTCTGAGGCCATTAACAGCTCTCTTTTACATCTTTGTTAATGGAAAATAGGGAGGAGGCTGGAGTAGGAACATTAGACTGTGGTTCCTAAGGTCCATACAGTGAGTCAGAGGCAGACAGAGGCAAGATTCCTACTTCATTGATATAGCTACCAAACTGAACTGCTTGAAGAAAAAAATGGTACCTGAAGGACACATAAAATGTGGAGTCTAGAAATGGAATGTCACTGAGAATGAAGAATGCTGCATGTACTTTCTAACATACAACTTGGTATATGGTATAAGTCATTACCCTTTCGATACATACGTTTATCAGCTGTGGAATAGATCATGCATTTAAATGACTTTCTGAAATCAGCCTGTAATAGTACATTAACTTTAACATCCTCCCCAACTTCAGCTAAATATCTTTCTTTTAAGTGACATCAGTGTGCCTTCTTTTTCAAGGTGGAAGATCTGAGACTTTCGTACGGCAGTGGATACTACCGAAATGCGAATGGAGTCCATGTATCTGAGCCTGTTTTAGACAGTAGGAGAAGGAACTCTGCAGTTGAGGTGACGTTTGCAGCAGAGCTGGAGCGTTCCAAACCAGAGGCAAATCCCACATCGCTCCACCCATCCCAAAGCAGTTCCTCTTTCACCTTTATTGCAGATCCTGTCTTTAATACCGACCCTGATCCCTTAGATTTCTTTGAGGAGCGGAGTCCTCTAAGCTCTTTCCAAGCAAACTCTAAGTTGGTGGACAATCATGTAAGCACATCTCCTGGTTTTACAAGCAAAATGAGTCCAGCAAGGCAGCTAATATACACTGATATGCCCTACATTCCTTGTACTAGTCAACAGGTTGATATTATGCCTCCCCAAGTCTTTTTTTATGTAGACAAGCCACCCCAGGTACCCAGGTGGTCTCCAGTCATGGCAGAGGAAAGTATGAGATCAGACAGCTATGTAGATCCCAGCGCAATAAAGCCAGCCAAAAGGAGCCCAAGGAATATGAGGATAAAAAGCTTACAGCAAGACCTTCAAGAACTTCAAGAAGCTATGGCTAGAACTAGTGGTAGGAGCAGTATCAGTGGAGACCTAGAAGAGGAAGACCCACATTTAGAAGATGCATTTGCTTATAACCCCCAAGAGCTAACTCCTAAACGATCTCAGAGCCATTCAGACATGAAAACTATCCGTTTTCCTTTTGGGTCAGAATTTAGACCTTTAGGGCCTTGTCCTGCTCTGACTCGTAAAACAGATCTGTTTACATGTACATTTGCAGAGCAGGAGTTCTCAACAGTTTTAATGGATCAGAATTCAGCAGAAAGGTATGTAGCTGGTGAGTCCAGTGATTCAGAATCAGAGATTCTTAAACCAGACTACTACTCTTTGTATGGCAAAGGGACAAAGTCACCTAGAGCCCGCATCCGCTTGTCTTCTGGTAGTCTGCAGCTCGATGAAGAGGAGGAAGACATATCCTTCACCACAGCAGGTGCTGATGATAGGACTTTGCTAAAGCCATGCAATTACTTCTTAGCTTAAAATAATGACCTCTGAATGGTCCTGGTCCAGTTCCATGTTACCACCATAGCTTAGATGTAAGAACCTTTAACTCATCTTTTCCTTCATCATCTTAATTGACTGGAGTAGGAACATTATTGTATGATATATCAAGCCACTGTAACATTCCACGAGCTCCATTCTTTTATTTCCTCTGAACAGACTCTGGAACAGGCCTTCTCCTCCCCAGCACTATGGTGGTGTGATAGAAGTGTGTATCATACCATTCTACATTTCCCTGAGCAAACGTTATAAATGAAGATAAATTATTCAATGCTGAAAAATAACGATGATATGGGTTGCTGAATGGGACTGGCTTCTCATACCACTTTGTGATTTAGTAATCAATGACTATGTTGGTTATTTTTGTGCTTAGGTAACACTAAACAATGGTTTCTCTCTTCATGACTTGTTTGGGACCCAGTGACCAGTCTTGTTATACACTAAGAAATGTCCATTTTTATAACATATACATAGGTGAGTAGAATAAATGCTCGAAATAGAAAATGTTTAGAATTAATAGAGGATCTAACAGAATTCTTAATGCAGGAAATCATGGATTAGATCTATTTTTCAAGCTAGATGTGTGCCTGATGGGGATATTGTGGTGTTTGACTTTTAATTTATTTTTTCTTAAGTACTTATTATATAAGGTGGGATCAATGTTAACAGGCAAATTTGTTTATTAATTTCTCCACCAGAATTTATTTTTGCCATATCTTTGTAGCATGCATGTAGGCAAGGACATGAGATGTTATTTTAATAAAGACTAATGGAAAATCCACTCAAACAGAAGTTATTAGTATGTACTTTTTATTGTAATAAAATTCAGAAGTAGTTGGCTCTGGCCTATATCTAACAGGACAGTTAGAGACTGGAAAAAAAGACATCATTAAGGAAGAAAAATGTCTGGTCAGCGGTGGAGAAGTGGAAATGATGGGTAGCTGAGATGAAAAGTGACAGCCTAGACAGGCTCTGACAGCGAATCAAAATTCAATGGTATGGCTGTTTTGATTTTCTCAAGGAGCTGAGGCTGGGCTCCAACTCATGATTTCCTTGCCTCAGGCTTCTTTGTGCTGGGTTGATGTACCACAGTGTTAAGCTCAATTTAATTGCTTTGACAAATGTTATATGTATGATTATTTAACCAAATGTATGTATAGATGCCATGTATGTGGCAACTGCCTGCAGAGGCCAGAAGATTGGGTGGGATCCCCTGTGATGGAAATTAGAGAGAGTTGTGAACTGCCATGTTGGCACTGAGAACCTGCCCTAGGTCCTCTGTTGACATGGCCAGTGGTCATAAGCAGTGAGTAATTTCTCCAGCTCTCAAAATTGTGTTCTTGCCCCATTCAATATTTGTTGATCAATCCTCCTGGAAGGCTTTTGAAGAACTTTGTTGGTAATCTTAAGTCCAATGAATTTTCAAGACCATATTAAGTATAAACATCAAAGAAATGAACTTATTATATAAAGAAGCCATTTTATATATGATTTGTTAAGAAAATGTAAATAATACATTTTTATTCTCCATATAAGCAAAAAAAAAAAAAAACCAAAACCTTTTAATGTACTTCATTCCACTCTTTTTTTCTATTCCTGAACACAAATCCACTAAGTCACAGGTATAAAGTAGTCATTTAAAACTAAGAATATACTGAAGCTTGACTACTAATACATAATTTCTATAGATTCTTATTTATTGAAAATAAATACCTGTAATCTTTTCCCTAGGAGAAACTCAAAATCTTATTTGTTTGTTATATGCTACATCTCATCTCATCTTCATTTCTGAAAACTTTTGTATATTTTCCTTGAAAACTATAAAGTTCAAATCTGTGTGTGATCATTTATTAGAATAGTAATAAGGAAAATAGTTGAATTGGCTACCTGCAGACAGTTTTAAAAGAACTATTAACAATTTTCTTAAGAGGAAGAAATCAGGATATATGTGTTCAGCTATAAAGTCAATTCTTACTGTTAGTTTCGATGCAAACCTTGATTATGTTCCAATAATAAAACGAAAAGAAAGAAATAATTTAAACAATTAGAATAACATATCAGACCCACCCTCAAGAAAACAATCATCAGATTTAAGTATCTATTTTTAAAATTCCCCAAATAATTAGAAATAATCTACAGGACTAAAGCTATAATGAATAAGCAATACAATTTGTACTTGGAATGCAGTTGGGTTGTAAGGTTTTACATAATCCAGTTAAGAACCTGTTGATTTATTTCTACAAAAATATGAATGTAATCCATGGTTTAAGTCACACAATTATTTGTAGAGTACTATAGAGAACAAAATGTAATTGAGTTTCAGCTACAAAGCAGATGAAAAATCTAAATAAATAATTAAGTCAAAATACAATCAACTGAAAGCAAGTATAGGCACCAATGAAAAGAATTTTCTTGGCATATGACATTGCACAGTCTCTTTTAAAAGAATGAATGTAATGATCATTTTAACTAAAATTGTATTGTTTACTTGTACCTCTTTCTTTTAATGCTTGTCAGTTATTCAGATATTTTTAAAAATGTTTTGTACAAAAATAAAACGTTCAGATAAAACATTAAAATCTTAACTGTTGAAATTCATCAGTAACAACAACTTTAAAACTACAAAACAGTTAAGCACTTAGGCAAGGTTGTTTATTATATAGACCAAGCTAAGAAAAGGGATATTACCCACTTAACAACACCATAAATAGAACTGAAAATTATCGGTACAGTCTACCTTAATTTTGTCTGAGGAGAAATGATCCTGCCATGTGGTATTTTCATATAAGCTGGACAATGTTCATTTAAATATCCTTTCAAAACACTAGGCTTATGTATGGATAATTATAAAGAAAAATGTATAGTATCTATGAAAATGCATTGCCATGACAAAAGATGTTGGTGTGAAGTTATATTCATAACTACTAATCACAAGGCAAAAGGTTGTTAAAAGTTTTCTAAATCCAAGCATGTAATATGTAATTTGAGCTGAAGATTTAAAGATTAAAGTCAAACTAACTACTCCATTCTAACCAAACTTCCATCATTATCTAAAGGAGATTACTTTAAATGTCTAACCATGTTAAATGGGGTTAATTGCTTCTTCCATCCAAAAGAGAAGATAAATCCACAAAGATGTTCCCTGCTACATATTGCCTAGAAATGCTTCAAAGACAAGGTTCTCTAATGTGATGAACATAGAGCTGCCTGCAATTCAGAACAACCTGCTAGGAAAGTCAATACTTTCTTAGGTGTTTTTTTCCAAGAGCTTTTAAGAAAGTATCACTTATTTTTTAAGAAGGTATTACTTATTTCTACCTCATTACAAATAGTTATTTTTAGATTATAATTGTGTAAAAAAGAATGCTTTTTGAAGATTGATGATTTACAAACAGTCGATAATTAGGATGACTTTGAAAGACCTGTACGTGTATGAGTGTACAATTAACTAAAAGTTCCAAACTAAACAGTATTCTTTTCAATAACATAAAAAAATAATGGTACCTAAAAAAAAACTGTAGCTCAACATTTATTATAATACAAGCAAAACTATAGTATTAAAATTATTCCTTATAAAATAATCTCTTCAAAATACAAAATGATCTCTACCATTACAAAATAGTTGAACAGCTTCTTCGAAATCTCCAATGTTGCGAAGATCCAAAAGGCACAGGGAACTCAAGAGTTAAGTATTATTAAGGTTGACATAGCTTTGGTGGGTTTCTCTGGGTCCATATGAAACAGAAGCTGACAATAACGACAACAAATATCTTAGGAGGATTCATCTGCAGAACACCTATAAAATTAAGAAAAGTATAAATTAATGTATAATTATACAAGTCATCTCTATCTCTCACTCATGGACTCTACAATGAATGAAGGAGACAAATTATTTCCATTGAATCTTGCTTTGATGGTTGTTAAAAGATGCAAAAGAAAGGTCAAAAATTCATCTGAATCTGATTTCACAACTTGCAATGGATTTGTTTGTAAATAGAAAAAGAGAAGGGAATTTTCCATTAGAACCAGGTGGTTTTAAAAATGGTTTAGCTGCAGAGTCCTGAGTAGGCTCTGTTGGATGGAAAGATAATTAAAAGGGATTTTATAGGCCACATATTTAGTTTCATGTTGAGCTCAGTTGGCCAAGAAAATCTAAACATGGGACAAGAAGAGATATAATGGGTTTAAAGTTAAAATCTATACCATCTGTTTGAACTCCCTTAAGCTAATGAGTATGTATATATACTTACAAATATCTTGTTTTAAAAAAATTTCAAATCAAAATTTGAGTTTTTTCTGAACAAAAATAAAAGTAATGGGAGACAAGGGAAAAACTAAACGCAAACAAAAGGATCTACTACTGTCTATACCATTTTCCCTATATCTTTTAATCAACATTTCGTAAGGGTTCGAATGTAGAAACTTTGTTACTGGAAATGATCAGAATAGTGGTGTTTCTGTAAATGCTAAAAGTACTGTCAAGAATGGAAACGTGTAGTGTTACATGTGCCTATATAAGAACACATTCAGTGACCTTTTGTCTCTTTTCATCCTAACAGAGAAAGACAGGGCAAAATACAGCCTGTTTGGCTCAGTAGAAAACTACCTTCCATGTCTTAATGTAAACGTTCCAAAAGCTCATGCTGGATTCAAGAAGTGGCTCAGAGAGTAATGTGCTAGAAATGCAAGTGCAAGGGTTCCTTAATTCAGATACCTAACACCAATGTTCTGGTCAAGTGTGACTGAGTCCACAATACTTGTGCATTGAAGGGTAGAGAAGAGTATTTCAGGGGGATCACTGGACAGCTTGACTAGCTGAAAGGGTAGGATCCAGGTGGATCAAAAAAGAAGGTGGAGAGTAAAAGGGGAACAAAGCTAATGTTGATGTCTTTCCTATGCAGGCTCATGTGCAAAATAACTCACCCATCTACCCATGAGCATACACATATATACCAGACACACACACACACACACACACACACACACACACACACACACACACA